CTTGTTGGAAGATTTAAAAAATTTCCAAGGTCGTGCAAAGACTGTATGACCTTTCTGCCGCTTTTTTTTTCGAATCATCTCAGTACATTCGGAATCCCACCAAGGAGGAGAAATTTTGCTTTGTGTAGAAGATTTGAGTGGAATATGTAAACTGGCAGATGAGGTAAGGGAGTTGACAAAATCATTGTATGAAGATAGGCAGTTTTCAGCAGAAACTGCGGGGAGCGCAGCTATCTTAGAATCAATAGAAGATGAAAAGTCTGACCAATTGGCCTGATTCAGTTTAAATTTTAAAAGAGGGGAAGGGCGAGTAACACTCCTTAAATTGGTTGGGAGATCAATTAAAATGGGGAAGTGGTCACTCCCACAAGTGCTCTTAAAAACACGCCAGGATAGAAAAGGGAAAAGATCAGGAGAACAAAGTGATAAATCCACTGCGCTAGCGGGATTCTGAGATGGAAGACACCTTCTCGTAGGACAACCATTATTCAAGACACTTATGTTTATATCATCGAGTAAATCTAGTAGAAGGGACCCAAAAGAATCTGAGGAATGACAACCCCAAGAAACATGGTGGGCATTGAAATCACCCAACATGACAACATGAGGAGGAACCGAAAGGATAATAGAACGTATATCAGAAATGAGGTTGAAATGGGGTTGGGGAATATAAACAGAAATAAACGAGACATTAAAAGCTCTCATAGCAACAGCATTAATACCATCACAATGAGGAAGAGATAATGAGTGGAAGGTGAGGGATCGGCTGACCAAAAAGGCACAACCAGCATAGCCATCATCCCTGTCATCCCGGAGACACCGATACCCAGAAACCCTAAAGCGGGAACCCGGTAATAACCAAGTCTCCGAAATAGCTAGAATAGATGGAGCGAATTTATTGATAAGAAAGGTTAATTCGGATTTTTTACTGCGAATACTGTTACAATTCCACAGAATTACCAGATTCGCCATTTTTGGTGACGAATGAGTGGAGCAAATTAATTTTTTGGGCAACGTGGGACGGTATGGGGATGTCATCATATTTAGTTAGCATGTTACAAATGACTGCCCATAAGCAGTCAAGAAGATTTTCATTTGGGGAGACTTCATTGTTGTTAAGGGAAGGGGAGCTTACGGCACAACCATTGGGTAAAGAGGAGGGTAAATTGGAAGTAAAGGCCTCATGGGCCGCCTTATCAAAGGATTTTCCTGATGTAGGCCTAGAGCGAGGAGGGAGAAATACAATTTTCCTGTATGATGTTGACTGACGGGAAACTTGGGAAGGTAGTAGTATTGGGCTGGGATAAACTGAATGAAGAGGAGGGGGTTGTTTTCACAGAATCTGCAAAAGTTTTGCCAATGATAGGTCTAAACCGAGCCGAAGCTTCGAGATAAGAAATGTTTTCCTGAGACATACAGTTCTTTATATTTGTTTGTCGATTATGTTCAGGACAAGCTTTGTTGGTCGCATAGTGTGAGGCAGTACAAAATAAACATAATGACTCTATTTCAGGGATATTACAATCATCACCAGAATGGGCTAAAGTACAACGAAAACACCTAGGCTTAGAACGGCATTGTGACTTTACGTGACCAAATCTACGACATTGAATTGTTGGGAGTTGGTACGTTTCAACGCGGAGGGAACTATGACAGGAGAATATTTTCTCCGGAAGGGTTTGTCCCTGAAAGGTTAAAACAACAGTTTGTGTTGGAATCCAATTAATTTGACCATCGGAGTTTGTCTTGCGGTTAAGGCGTCTGGCCTTGAGGACTATACCAATACCTTCAGGAATTTCCAAAGTTTCGACAAATTCTTGCATCGACCAATCAGCTGGGACACCTCTCATAAGACCCATACGGGAAACATTGTAATTAGGAATCGTAACAGAATAATTGCTGGAAGGTATAATGGGATTAGACACAAAATTATTAGCATCTAAACCCGACTTAAACTCTGCAGATATTCTGTTACGTCCCACTCTTTTAACACCATCACGAACAATGTTACTTACTTTATTTTTTACCAAGAAGTGACCAAATTTAATTGGGCGAATTGATGTACCGGCGGATGGGTCAGATTCAGGGCAAGAAACATGGACTAAAAAAGGGCCCTTGTCATTGACAAGGTATGACTTGGGAGAGCCAGTGAGAGACGGATGGGAGTAAAATCCCGGGTTGACGTCATCAGCAGATGACCGGGCATCAGTCATTGGTTTTTTGGAAAGTTCCACTAAAGATTCATAGATAGTATCGAGTCTGCGCTTGACACCAGGTTGGGGAAACAGTGGGGTGGATAAATCCATTGATTCCACCGGAGAAGAGACCCTATCCGGAGGATCAGGGGGGTCTGGAGGGTGTTTCTCCATTATAGACTACCAAAAATATAACAAGGTAAAGGGAGAAATATAACAAATAAATAAAAATAACTTACGTAATTAGTTGATGTTATTAATTAACCACCACCAATAGGATAAGTCGACTTATATTTATTAAATTACGAGAAAAAATAGAAAATACCAAATAATGATATCCGAAACACGTGTAAACACTTATACCCGCAACGACGGAAAACCGTGTCAGAAGTCAAACTTAGAATAAAAAATAACATCAAAAGCGCGCTGAACTGCCCAATTGATTTGATGAAATTTTTTTACTTATTTTTTATAAATGTTTATTATTATTATTATACTTATATCAACTTTAACATAAAGTAAGAAATAAGATTTTTTTTAAAGTTATTACTAAAGTCTGTGATACATGTACTGTGGATATCATATGATCACAGACAAGTTATCATTTCTTTGGGTTAGAATGTTGTCAAGATTTCCAGTCTTGACAGTTTCTAATTTATAGTTTATACTTCATAGTTCATTTTATATTCTTGAATCTTCAATCCTCAAGGCTCAATGTTTGTTTTGTCAAAATGGCGTTTAGTTTTCCAGCTTTTTCATACATTATTGCGTTAATTATTGATGCATTTCTTATATTTTTTTCCATCTTTCATGTAATAGCATTTGATGAACTAAAAACTGATTATAAGAATCCAATTGATCAATGTAATAGCTTAAACCCTGTATGTATTATCGATTTGTAAAGGAGTTCAGTGACTTGCGAATAACCTCATAATCTCATTTGCAAATTTAATTTTAGCTGGTGCTGCCGGAATATTTGCTGCATTTATTTATTAACGTGTTGTTTTTATTGTCGCAAGAATGGTTTGCATTAATAATCAATTTACCATTAATTATCTATCACATATTCAGGTAAGCTTAAGCTTTTTTGCTCGACTTGGCGGGCGCACTGCCGTCCTCCAGATTTTAAGTAACCTGAATAGATATATCTCAGTTTTTCTACTGTTCATAAATTTATTGTATTTATAAATGACTATAAATTACTGATCGTATTAAACCAGAACTATATAAAGATGTCTATTGTTCTAGATATCGCAACCGACCTGTGATGTCGGGGCCTGGTCTGTATGACCCGACGAGCATAATGAATGCTGATGTTTTGACTGTTTGTCAACGAGAAGGATGGATAAAATTAGCATTTTATTTGCTTTCATTCTTCATATACTTATATGGGTAAGATTTTAACCAATTTATAGTTTATACTTCTTTCTTTTGACAATTTGATTTTTTTTTTCATATATATTTTTCACCTGTTGGATCAGGCATTGTTTATATCTTTTAAAAATTCTTGTCTTGGTGAGTAATAAATACATAGGAAATCTAATCTTGCATTTTCATAAGTTAAGCTTTGAACTTAAAATTAAGACAATAATTTCTTATAAAGGAATATAATGTATTACCTAACTTTTTTAAATATATCTAAACATCATGTGATAAGAGAATGATAACATATACACACAATGCTATTGGACTAGACATGCAAATCTTACAAAAGTATTGATTGATAAGTTATAGGATTGGATTTAAGACATAGGTAAAATTGTGATTAGAAATAGCTTTACGAATTACAAATTTAAATTAAAAAATTTGATGCTAAATTATTATATTAATTCTCTGAAAAATTTGTAGCAGGTTCCTATAAGTAAAGTGACAACAATATGTTATATAGAAATGTATATTGTAGTGTAATTCATATTTCGCTTTTTTGCTCAAGATGTCTGATTTAGCTTTCTGATGAAGTATTACATGGAGACTGATACAGCCAAAATGTTTTTCTTCTGTTTTGGGTTAATTTTGTAAGAAATACATTAAAATTAAATAAAATATGGTATAATTTTTATAATATTATAATTACTCATGTTAAAGCAAAGAACTTTTAGACAGGTGATCTTATTACTGTCTTAAAATAATGTCTTATAATAATTTTGTCTATTGTGATTAAGACGAGAATGTTTTGTTTCAGAATGATTGTGGTGCTTATTGCAGTATAAAACTCAATATTTTTTAGGTTTTTATTTATTATCCGACATAAGGTGTCAGTCAATAATCAATAAGCGTTTGCAAATAATAGTTGATTGTGAAATATTTTGATAATTAATAAACAATTAAATCATTTTGTAGAATTTTTTTAAGTTAAATAATACCACCCTACCCCTCATAGCTAACTTTTTATTTTGTTGTAACATATTATGAGCTAGAAATTTGGAAAAAAATTCAGACTGTAATAGTAAGGATTCCTATTTTATTCATCTAAAGAATTTTGACGCTTTGAATTACATCTGTATGTTTGTATATTTATCTGGTCTATTTTTCATCGTTTTTTAGTATTACATTTAGACAGATGAAACAGTCTTACATTGTTTTTAAGTGAAAATTGCTTTTATAAGTACCATAATCTTCAATACTATTTTAGTTCCGCATCCTTACACTAATTGTAGAAATTATATCTAAGTACCTATTAATAATGAACTAGCACCGAGTAAGTGACGTTATGTACCGCTGAAAATAGTATAAAGTTCTCGGCATTCGGATGCATACGCAGTATTTTGCGAGACATCACGTAAGAAAGATCATAGAGACATAGCTATGCACATTTTATTGGTTATTTTCTTATTAATAAGCAATGGCGACGGTGCCAGGATCTTGGGGCTTTTCGGGCATACTGGTAAAAGCCACTTTAAATTCTTTGAACCGTTGCTCAAAACGTTAGCAGAACGCGGCCATGAAGTGACGGTTGCATCGTATTTTTCTCTTGAAAACCCGCCAAGTAATTATAAAGACGTCAGCTTTAAAGGGGTCGCCGAAGTGGGTTTGGAAACATTTAACTTGGAATTGGTAGAAAATCTAAGTTTCCATCACAAAATACCTTTAATTGGCGATATTTTAAAGCAAGTTAACTTATTAGACTTGTTTGGCGATTTGGCTGTTAATCTCTGCGAGAAAATTATCAGTTGGCAACCACTCGTAGAGTCGTTAAAAAGAAACTACGACTTGGTGATTGTGGAAAGTTTCACAAGCGACTGTATGTTAGGACTGTTGCATGTGTTTGGAATTAAAGCGCCAATTATTGGTTTGTCTTCGAGCAATTTACTGTCGTGGACTTTGCCTCGTCTCGGGCTTGTTGATAACCCATCATATCTACCGGGTGTGAATACTCCGCTGTCTACGAAGATGACACTTATAGAGAGAATTCAAAATACGGTTATGAGCATTTACACGAATACATGGTTTGAGCACTACGTTCAGCAAAGAGAACAAGAAATTATAGAGAAGCATTACAAAATACGCCTTTGTACGAATTATCTATGGACATGTCGTTAGTAATGGTGAACACGTTTTATGCTTTGAACGGTGTTCGAAATTATGTTCCGGGCCTGGTGGAACAAGACCGAGATAGGAGTACCAAAGGTATGTGATATATTCTTAGTATAGAACATTACCGCAACCATACAAATTGGTTATAAAATTTACAATGATTCACTTGTTTTTGCTGTCTTATAGGAATAATTTTTTTTTTTGTGATTAATCGCCGCGCTAATATTAAATGATATTTGACCAGGACCATGACGATAACATACGAGTTATATTAATTAGTCTTTATCAAAAGTAAAGTACTTAATTGAAACTAAAATAAATAAGTAGGTACCTACCTATAATTTTCATTGACGATTATTGTAAGTTCATTTTATTGCATAAAGCAAGGTATATGAGTTATGAGTTATGTAATACCTTTTTTGAACATATTATTGTAAAGCGTTGTATTGTATATTATAGAATCTTTTGTTATGTGATATTCTTTTTTTGGTGTTAAAGATACGCATTTAAGCACCGGTTGTTACATATTAATTCAAATTAAACTACATTAATGTTAATTAAATTCATTTTTATATCAACACGCCCTTTTCCCAAAGGGGTAGCATTACCTTTCGTATCCTTAACGTAACGTCTTCTTTTAATCCACACTGCTCACTTACCAGCTCCTGAAATCCCTCCACCGAAGACGCAAGTATCACATGGTCGTAAGCGAATAGGAGACAATCCAGTAGTAGCTGGCCCATTTTTAATCCCCGTTAACTTTCATATATTTCAGATAATTATCTGTGAATAGAATGTACAGCCACGGGGAGGCAACACAACCCTGTCTCACACCGTTCTCGACAGTAAACCAACCCGTGCAGGCTCCGTTGATTCTGACGCATGCCATAGAGTCCCTATATAGAGATTTCAACGCCTGAATCAACTGGCTGCTCACCTGGTGGTACATAGACAACGCTGACTTTATATAAGCCTTTCCAAATTTACAAAAGTACAGAAAACTTTTGGTCTTTTGTAAGGAAAAGACCTGATCCAATGCCTTTTGTTAATCCTTCTTGCATATCCTATACTTTTTCATCAGTCTCTTTTATCACTTTTTCAATTAATATCTTCGCATATTTTTTTTACAATCTACTAAGTATTTTGTACAATCTTCTTATTACCCGCTGCTTTTATATAATGGAACAATGATAACTTTTCACCCTACGTACGGCACCGTGCCCTGTTTCCAGTTACAATGAAAAAGTGAGAGTGATTAAACACTGCGTCGCGCCCAGCCATCATCTCTCCGGGAACCCTACCGCATCTTGACGGCTTTCCAGAAAAACTTTATATTGGTTCCGAAGTCATGAGATGGTCTCCTATAGAATTCATCTTTGACCTCCAATTTCTACTGGTCTATGTCCTGCTTAGTTATCAGCTTCCATGTTTTTATAGTTCCTTTGGCTTCCTCCACTTCCATACACGACACTTTATTTAGCTTTTTCCTAGATCTCGTCGACAACCAGGATTTGGTTCTTTTCGCTTACTGCCTTACTTGCTCCATGCATTCCTTCTACCACTTACCCTTTTCCTTTAGTGACTCCACATAACTTGGTAGCCGTTGAGACTAAGGTATCTTTTAATGTCACCCATACTTGGTAGACCTTACATACTACGTCAATTTCCATTTTATCTGTATTTAAAGCTTTTCTACGTTACATGCATACTCTTGCAAATCGCAGTGATTTCACATTTATTCGTTCTAGTCCAACCATCCGTGTACATGTAATTTTACGCCAACCCCGAAATAGATTTTTTATATGAGATATCACCAAAGAATGATTGATGTGTATAGGAGTGCTTGCTATCTAGTACCCATTCCCTTAACCTTTCGTCCACTATCACTAAGTCAATCATACTTTTCCTATCTCGTCTTTCCCAGGATACGTATATCTTAATACTATAATTGTGTTGAAATAACCACATTTATCTTAAACGGTGATACTATCAAATAAGAAAAAGTTGGAAATGCTTGCGTTAGTATTATTAGTATTATAATTTAGCAAATGGTAGTATTTAAAAAAACGTGAATGTACGATTTACAACCGTACAGGTATTGCAATGTAAATGACACCATGCAAAATGATTTGCTTGTGTGTTCATTTCCATTATATCTTATTATTTCAGTTAAGTTAGTTCGCATTTAGACCTCGTACCGGGCGCGACTCTTAATCTCATCTCACCCCACTAGTTTAGTCCATTGCTCATAAAATAAATAATTATCCCTTTAAATATCTTAATAATTTATCCCAACCCCGAACATTGGTCCTTCGAGCCATTAGTCGTATTTTTGGCAGGATCAGGACGCGTGTGCTTTCGCAATATTGTTTTGCTTAGTGTGTGTGTTATACTGATACCTGCGTATCAAAAGAATACATCTAGAACTACGATTTATGGATACACCTCTTTTATCCTAATCACATTGCCTAAGAAAGGCAATATACCTCAACATTTGTACACCTCGTGACCTCGGTGCCTTAGGAAGGCACTACATCTCTTCACCTCGTAACCTCGGTGCCCTAGGAAAGCACTACATCTCTTCACCTCGTAACCTCGGTGCCCTAGGAAAGCACTACATCTCTTTACCTCGTGACCTCGGTGCCTTAGGAAGGCACACTACATCTCTTCACCTCGTGACCTCGGTGCCTTAGGAAGGCACACTACATCTCTTCACCTCGTGACCTCGGTGCCTTAGGAAGGCACACTACATCTCTTCACCTCGTGACCTCGGTGCCTTAGGAAAGCACTACATCTCTTTACCTCGTGACCACGGTGCCTTAGGAAGGCACACTACATCTCTTCACTTCGTGACCTCGGTGCCCTAGGAAGGCACTACATCTCTTTACCTCGTGACTTCGGTGCCTCAGGAAGGCACACTACATCTCGGATTCAGTACAACCTTGCAGGTATTGCGAGGATATCTTGAGCAACTTATCAGCTAAACAAGTAAGGTTATATTGTTATCTCTGATAATCTTTAATTATGTCCACAATGGAAGATATTTTAGCTACCCAACAACAGTTGGTGGACGCAGTGGATAAGCTTTATATCAACTTTAAGAAGGATGGAGCGGAGCGAAAGACTCCCGATTATATACGTCGTCGTTTAGAAACGTTAGAACAATATTTTACAGATATTCATAATAACCATATGACACTTTTATCTTTTAGTGATCAGTCTCATGAATATTTTACTTTTAATAAATACGAGCAGATTAAGAAAAAATATGGTAATATTAAGACAACTTTAAGAAATTATAAGCCTTTGGCAAGCATTACAAAATCCCCTGAATTACAACCTCCAACGTTTCAAGCCCCGTCTACCTCTAACGCATCGACCTCCAATGAATCTCAGGAAATATCTCTCAAAAATAACTCTAATATGAGTAAAACAGAAGAGCTCATGAGAAAACAAACTACAAATTTTAAAGCTTTTCTGAGAACTGCCAAGAGTATAGAACTTGACCTTATCTCGGAAAAGTGGGAGTTAGAAGACATCCTAAAGACCTTGCAAGTCCGTTGGACTGCAATTGATAGCTTACATTGGGAGTTGGACAATGAACTTTGTGGTTCCAACCGAGAATATGAAGAGCAATTTACAAATTACGAAAAATATTACATTAAAGTTAAGAAGGATATCAATAAAAAGATGTGGTCGGTATCACACATCGAGAAAACAACCCCTAAAATGGAGTTACCAACCTTCGAGGGAAATTATAACCAATGGGTTTCCTTCAAAGATCTCTTTACGGAAACTATTCATAGTAACCCATCTCTTTCAAATGCGCAGAAATTACAATTTCTCAAAAGTAAGGTTAAGGGTGAACCTGAGAAGTTGATTCAACATCTCCAGGTAAGCTCAGATAATTATCTCATTAGCTGGAATATTCTCAGTCATCGCTATGATAATAAGCGTCTAATCTTTACATCTCACCTTAACAATCTCTTAAATATTCCTAATATTCAATACCAGTCGTATAATCATATCAAACGCATTCACGATGTTACAAACGAGAGTATAAATGCGATAGAAAATCTTGGAATTAATGTTTCTTCCTGGGATCCCTTCCTTGTATGTATATTGTCTCAGAAGTTAGACGCAGACACGTACAATGAATATATACAGTCTTTGAAATCGCCGAGAGAATTACCCGTATTACAAGATTTTTTGCAGTTTTTAGAAACTAAGTTTATGACCCTAGAAACTTCACGGAAGAAGCAAGAAAATCACACCCCAAAAGTGTCATATCATAACTTCAATCAATATAAACCTTCAAAAAATTTAAATAATCAATCATCATCTTCGAAAAATTTTAATCATAACTTTAGACAAAGTTATAATAATCCTAAGTATACTTATTCTACAAATCAGGTTATTTCGCAACCGACACATTCCAGTAATAAAATTATTGAAAAACGCAAGCTGTGTCCGGTGTGTAATTCAAGCGATCATCGTATACATTTATGCCAAAAATTATTAAATATGCAGCCTATCGCACGAAGAAATGCTATTGCAAAATTGAACCTTTGTATCAACTGTTTACATTATCATGAAGGTAAAAAATGCCTTTCGCAATTAATGTGCAAGGAATGTAATAAAAATCATAATACAATTTTACATGAATGTTTTACAAAAGATAATATGACACCGGACGTTTCACGATCTAGGTTACACGTGCCCCGGGTTGTGAAACATTTACCTCAACAACAAGAAATTAACACATTAGTATCTCTTCCAAGTGACCCTGCCGAAATATTACTTGCCACTGTCATTATTAAGATACAGGCAGCGGATGGATCTTATAAAAATATGAGAGCTCTTTTAGATCAGGGCTCACAAATCTCAATTATCAGTGAAAATGCTGCTCAATTATTAAAAATACCTCGACAAAAATGTAATGGTTACATTTCTGGGATAGGAAATACAGAAAACAATTGCAAGGGCAAAATCTCTATCAAGTGTTT